TGAAATTGTACTGCAAGGTACCATACCACAAAGGGAAGGCTGGGATTGAGTTTGGGGGTGATGAATCATAAGGGGGTTCAAAAAATTTGGGGGGGGGGGGATTTTTTTTTTTCTTTTTTTTTCTTTTTTTCCTTTATTTTTTCTTTTAAAATTTTCCATTTTAAGTTGGTTATTTCTGATTAATATTTAAAAGCAAATAATAATGATATGGTAGGAGATACACACCAAACAGGATGTGTAAATTATTATATAATAAGTATTGTGCAATAGCAAGAAATTTTCAATTGCACAGTATTGCACAATTGCAAGAAATCTTCAATTGCACAGTATTGCGCAATAGCAAGAAATCTTCAATTGCACAGTATTGCGCAATAGCAAGAAATATCCAATAGCACAATATTGCGCAATAGCAAGAAATTGTCAATTGTACAGTATTGCACAATAGCAAGAAATATTCAATTGCACAGTATTGTGCAAAAGAAGATACTTCGTATAAATTGCTTATTTCTTGATCAATTTCAATGGGATTTTATTCTTGAATTCTTCGGGTTCTTTAATATGCTGAATCTAACCGTGTATTAAGTTTTTGGATTTTGGGCCCCGTTTTTAAATTGGTCCACATTGAGGTCCAAAGGGTCCAAAATTTAACTTTGTTTGATTTCATCAAAAATTGAATTATTGGGGTTCTTTGATATGCCGAATCTAACCGTGTATTTAGATTCTTAATTTTTGGTTCCGTTTTCAAATTGGTCTACATCAAGGTCAAAAGGGTCCAAAATTAAACTTAGTTTGATTTTAACAAAAATTGAATTTTTAGGGTACTTTGATATGCTGAATCTAAACATGTATTTAGATTTTTGATTATGGGCCCAGTTTTCAAGTTGGTCCAAATCGGGGTCCAAAATTAAACTTTGTTTGATTTCAACAAAAATTGAATATATGGGGTTCTTTGATATGCTGAATCTAACCATGTATTTAGATTTTTGATTTTTGGTCCCCGTTATCAACTTTGTCCACATTGAGGTCAAAAGGGTCCAAAATTAAACTTTGTTTGATTTCATCAAAAATTGAATTCTTGGGGTTCTTTGATATGCTGAATCTAACCATGTATTTAGATTTTTTATTTGTGGACCCGCTATCAAATTGGTTCATATTGAGGTCAAAAGGGTCCAAAATTAAACTTTGTTTGATTTCATCAAAAATTGAATTATTGGGGTTCTTTGATATGCCAAATCTAACCGTGTATTTAGATTTTTAATTTTGGGTCCCGTTTTTAAATTGGTCTACATTAAGGTCCAAAGGGTCCAAAATTAAACTTAGTTTGATTTTAACAAAAATTGAATTCTTGGGGTTCTTTGATATGCTGAATCTAAACATGTGTTTAGATTTTTGATTATGGGCCCAGTTTTCAAGTTGGTCCAAGTTGGGGTCCAAAATTAAACTTTGTTTGATTTCAACAAAAATTGAATATATGGGGTTCTTTGATATGCTGAATCTAAACATGTATTTAGATTTTAGATTTTTGGCCCAGTTTTCAAGTTGGTCCAAATTGGGGTCCAAAATTAAACTTTGTTTGATTTCAACAAAAATTCAATATATGGGGTTCTTTGATATGCTGAATCTTACCATGTATTTAGATTTTTTATTTGTGGGCCCGCTATCAAATTGGTTCATATTGAGGTCAAAAGGGTCCAAAATTAAACTTTGTTTGATTTCATCAAAAATTTAATTATTGGGGTTCTTTGATATGCCAAATCTAACCATGTATTTAGATTTTTAATTTTGGGTCCCGTTTTTTAAATTGGTCTACATTAAGGTCCAAAGGGTCCAAAATTAAACTTAGTTTGATTTTAACAAAAATTGAATTTTTGGGGTTCTTTGATATGCTGAATCTAAACATGTGTTTAGATTTTTGATTATGGGACCAGTTTTCAAGTTGGTCCAAGTTGGGGTCCAAAATTAAACTTTGTTTGATTTCAACAAAAATTGAATATATGGGGTTCTTTGATATGCTGAATCTAAACATGTATTTAGATTTTAGATTTTTGGCCCAGTTTTCAAGTTGGTCCAAATTGGGGTCCAAAATTAAACTTTGTTTGATTTCAACAAAAATTGAATATATGGGGTTCTTTGATATGCTGAATCTTACCATGTATTTAGATTTTAATTTTGTGGGCCTGCTATCAAATTGGTTCATATTGAGGTCAAAAGGGTCCAAAATTAAACTTTGTTTGATTTCATCAAAAATTTAATTATTGGGGTTCTTTGATATGCCAAATCTAACCGTGTTTTTAGATTTTTAATTTTGGGTCCCGTTTTTTAAATTGGTCTACATTAAGGTCCAAAGGGTCCAAAATTAAACTTAGTTTGATTTTAACAAAAATTGAATTCTTGGGGTACTTTGATATGCTGAATCTAAACATGTGTTTAGATTTTTGATTATGGGCCCAGTTTTCAAGTTTGTCGAAGTTGGGGTCCAAAATTAAACTTTGTTTGATTTCAACAAAAATTGAATATATGGGGTTCTTTGATATGCTGAATCTAACCATGTATTTTGATTTTGGACATTGGACCATAATAGGTAAATTAAAAAAATTGAAGTTCTTAGACCACATTCTTTCTGTGTCAGAAACCTATGCTGTGTCAAATATTTAATCACAATCCAAATTCAGAGCTGTATCAAGCTTGAATGTTGTGTCCATACTTGCCCCAACTGTTCAGGGTTCGACCTCTGCGGTCGTATCAAGCTGCGCCCAGCGAAGCATTTTATTGTAACTTATAGACAATAACTTGTGTGTTAGTGTATGGATCTCTCTGACATTGTACCACAAGGTTCCATATCACAAAGGGAATGCTGGGATTGATTTTGGGGGTAATTGCCTCAAAATTTTAGGCGAGTCCCCTGGGGTCACCCCCACCCCCTTCTTTTTGAAAACTTGTAAAGGGTCAAGATCTCCGAAACCATATATATTCTTGTATGGGACAATAAAACAAATCAAATGAAATCCATGGGGTATAAGGCGAGTCCCTTTGGGTCACCCCCACCCCCCTCCTGTTTAAGAACTTGTAAACGGTCGAGCTTTTCATTATTAATAAGATAATACCACATTGAGGTCCAAAGGGTCCTAAATTAAACTTTTGTTTAATTTCATCAAAAATTGAATTCTTTGGTTCTTTGATATGCTGATTCTAACAATGTTTGAGTGTTAAATCATATCTAATTTTAGAGAACTTATATTAATTAGTCATCACTGGTTGTTGTTATTATATTATTGATTATAATTTGAAAAAATGCATCATATCTTATTTTAGAGAACTATTTATCCAGTTTGAGTTATTTCCATTTGCACAGAAAATATTATGGATAAAATTAACCAGTGTTTCATTTCAACATAAATTAAATATATATATATAGGGTTCTTTCAAATGCTGAATTTAAACTCTATTTAGATATTAGATTTTTAGGCCCAGTTTTCAAGTTGGTCCAAATCAGGGTCCAAAGGGTCCTAGATTAAACTTTTGTCTGATTTCATCAAAAATTGAGAATTCTTGGGGTTCTTTGATATGCTGATTCTAATATGTACTTAGATTTTGGATATTGGACCATAATAGGTATTTAAATGTCCAATTTCAAATATATCAGTTCTTTGACTACATTCATTTTGTGTCACAAACCTATGATGTGTCAAATATTCAATCACAATCCAAATTCAGAGCTGTTTTAAGTTTAAATGTAGTGTCCATACTTGCTCAACTGTTCAGTGTTCGACCTCTGATGGAAAATCCGGTTTGCTGTCTCTCTGACAGCCTCTTGTTCAAATTAGTCTACATTAGGGTCCAAAGGGTCCAAAATGAAACTTAGTTTGATTTTAACAAAAATTGAATTCTTGGGGTTCTTTGATATGCTGAATCTTTAAGTTCTTTGACCACATTCATTCTGTGTCAGAACCTATGCTGTGTCAAATATTTAATCACAATCCAAAGCTGTATCAAGCTTGAATGTTGTGTCCATACTTGCTCCAACTGTTCAGGGTTCGACCTCTGCGGTCGTATCAAGCTGCGCCCAGCAGAGCATTTTATTGTTATACATGCTTGAAGATATTGGTCTGATAATTTTCATGATTATTGTATACATGTAGTTTTACCATGACAAGTTGCATATCAAGTTCAAATTTTGTTTCAGTTCAGATGATTTTTTTTTATAGCAGAAACTGTTTAGGACAAATGTAGGAATTATGGTCCAAAACAAGCATTTTTCATGTTTCATGGCAATAAATTGTGTATAAGTGTAGGATAACTATAAAATTGTACTACTTAATAGGTCATTTGTAGGTTCCATACCTCAAAAGAAGGTTTGGATTAATTTTTGGGGAAACAGACTAAACCATGTAAACCATTTAATAATTTGGGGCCAAAAAAAAAGAAAGATTTTCTGGTTTCAAAACATTTAAGTCTTGAATAATATACATTGTACATCATTTGTATATGTTCATACACCTGAACTAATATATAGATAAAAGAAGATATGGTATAATTTCCCTTCACCCAAGATTAAATGACATACATGTAGAAGTTAACATAAACTACAGGTCACAGTTCATCCTTCAACAATGAGCAAATCCCATACAGTCTAAGGGGAAATTGTAAACAATCAATTTCAAATGGTTACAACTTGAAAACTAATTTAATAATGTCAAGGGGTCTTCAGTTACTGTTGTAAGACTACAATGGGATGACCTGCTTTTAGTTTAAACTACTGGACCAAATTTAATAAAATCATTAAAAGGGTATCTAATACTATTAATTATGATTTTCAAAACAACAGTGGATACAGGTGAGTGACACAGGCTCTTGAGAGCCTCTAGTTGATATTTGATAGTACAATTCTAAGTTTAATATAAATACATATAGCAAGAAATACATGTATATTATAAGCTAATTGTTTGCAAAACTCTTTGAATAGTATTGCGTCCACAAATGTACTGTTTTCTCCCTTTCAGCAGTATTACAAGGTATGGGCAGAGGAGTTGACTATTGATAATGACTGATACTGGAATTAATGAAGTAACCTACATGTAGTGTCCAATCTCTATGTGGAGTTTGCCTATCAGACAGTCCATTTTTACATGTACCAAAAAATGTACGTTGACAGCCAATGCTAAGTATTAATCTTAAACATATATTCAATGATTGTATGTGCATCTCTGATACATATATTTCGCTGTTGTGTGGCTTTATTTCTGATCAGAGACCGATAAAAATCAGATTATCCTTTATTTTAAGTTCAAATATTATGTACTAGTAACTACATGTACTCAATGTCTTGCATTCATTTAACTAATAATGATGATGTAGCATCCAACAAAAAGTATATCTTTTTGACCTTCATTTTATGCCTCACTGATTATGTATATGTATGAATTCTGTCAGATTGTGGTACTTAAAAAAAGTTTTGAGTGTTTTGCACATATACTTTGTCATTGGACTTTAAATAAATTTGATTTCTGATAATGGCAGAGTGTTTTGAACATTGCTTCATAGTGATGATCAGATTACCTTTAATCAATATATATACAATGTACATGTACACTGCTACTGTAAAATAAAGTTTCCTAAATATTGCACTAATTTTAAAGTAACAAAATAGTACTGAATATTAAAAGTAGATTTCCAGTACTACATATGTTTGGTACAGAAATAGTACCTATGCAAAAGTAGCTGTGTATATAAATAGAATTTAATTGTTGCAGATTGATAATTTTTAGTAATTTGAAAATAAGGAGATGTGGTAGGATTGCCAATAAGAAAACTATCATGATCAGCCACGGTCAAAATGAAGGGGATGTAAGCAGTTTTAGGCCACTTTAAGACCTTCAACAATGAACAGAACAATACTGTTTACTCAGCTGTTAAAGATCCTGACAAAATGCGCAACAGTTCAATCTAGAAATTTAGTACTAGTCATTTTGCTAGTGATGTTCACTTATTGGTTAAAAGAAAAATTAATTGTTTTGTCTCTTGGTGAATATTTTTATGCCCCTGCCGTAACGGTGGGGGCATTAAGTTTTACCCTTGTCCGTCTGTACGTACGTCCCAAAATTGGTTTCCGTTCTCTAAATTAAGTTTGCCTCAACCAAATGTTATGAAAATTATACACAATTCTTATTACCACAAAACACAGATCAAGTTTGAATTTTGGTGGCGTCACTTTAACCGTTCTAGAGTTATGCCCTATAGAAATGGAAAAATTGCAAAAGTTTTAGTTTCCGTTCTCTAACTTAAGTTTGCCTCAACCAAATGTTATGAAACTTATACACAACTGTTCTAGAGTTATGCGTGTTTACAAATAGAAAAATTGCTGAATTTTTAGTTTCTGTTTTCTACTTAAGTTAGCCTCAACCGAATGTTATGAGACTTACATACAATGCTTATATAGGCACTAAGTATACTTATATATACAGGTAATGTGGTTTGTTTTCATAAGTAATTTATTATAAAATTTGACATGGTATGATTGCCAATGAGACAACTATCCACCAGAGTCCAAATGACTGAATATTGACAACTGTAAATGATCATATGTACAGCTTTCAACAATGAGCAAAACTGATACAGCATAGCGAGCTACAAAATGTCCTGAAACAGGGTTGGCAAAAACCTGGGTTTTATGAGTATTGCCCAGCCCAGTGGGAATTACTGGGTTTTACTGGGTAAATCACCATCAAATCACCAATGACCATGTCTGAGCTTAAAATACAAAACAGTTATCTCCTAATTATAAGTTTGGTAATCATTGGAGATTAAATTGGTGTTATCTTTTTTGCTTGACTACAGAAACAAACATGCTGATTTTATTATATTACAGGAACTGTAGGAAGTATTCAAAGAGTCTGATTGCTAAGTATGCATTACAGGATTTTATCATTGGAGCAACATCTTAGGAGGAGAAGTGCAAATGTATGAAGGAATCCTTGGGTACAAATAGCAATTATATGCAGAAGAGGACTCTAAAACATTATTAACAGACATGTAGTCATAGTAGTGGTGTTTTCAAGAAACGTAAACCAACTGGAATTAACAATTGTGTATATTTTTTCAACCACAAGTACTTTCAGAATATAATACAATTCAAATTCAAATTATTGTGTCAACATACAAGTTACAGTAAAAAAATGAAAATGCATGTTTTAAAATGAATTTTATATAAAAAAATGAAATAACAAGAATTTTTAGCTTATTGTGCAGCCAAACTTTGAGATTTTTTAATGGTATATGCCTGTTGTTTGTCAACATTTTGCCTTAACCTTAAGATCAGTGTTAAAATGAGAAAAAAACTATTTTTGCATATATGAAATAAGAAGTAAATGGTTGTAAATTACAGAGAGCCTTTCAATATGGTACATTTGTATATCAGCTATATTTCACAGAACTTTCTATTTTAGTTTATTAGTACAATGAGACATGAGGTATACATCAATCAGCCAGCAATATAACAACAAAAACACCTGAAAGGCATTAAGGTGCTAACATGCAGTCCTCAACAAAAGACAGGTGTCTAAAAGATATGCCATGATCTATTTAATTGACCAGAGGCTATAAAAAAACTTACAATATGAATCAAGAATAGCCATCAACACCAAATTCTCTGAATATTTTTTTTTTATTAAGACGAGATTTTTGACAACCACTGAAAAGATTTCTGGCTTTAAGCAGGTACATGAATAAGTGGCGAGGTGAACTAGTTTTTTTTCTTCAAAACCTTCTTAAAGAGAATTGGCATCTTTTGCAAGTAAGTCTTTTCCATAATGTGATTGGTTTGTGTCAAAACTGATGACCACACAATATGACTTATACAAACATAATAAAAATCAACTCAAATGAAATATACATCAGTGCAATCAACTTCTAAAAAATGACCACAGTCCATAAATCATTTACAAAAAAGGATTGAGACTCAACACAACCAAAAAAGTTCTAGGAGTGAACTAAGGTGCCCTGGATATAATTTATATCCTATGATGCATTTGCTTGCCTTCTTTGTTTAAGACCAAAAAATTTTGGAAACAAAGAAAGTAAAACAGAATGGAAGTATGAACACATGGTCCAGACCAAGAATAATATTTTTCATGTTTATATATATATCAAAACAGAATTTGTATTAGATTAGAATTGACTTACATAAATAAGCTCAAATCCTGTGAAATTAGTGTGATTGAGGCTGAATTCACTTTAATTTCATTAAAAAAAAGAAGCTCGATTCATGTTAATTTCACGTGAAAAGTTCACGTGAATTTCACGTGAAGGCTCAATTCACGTGAATTTCACATGAAAAATTTCACGTGAATTTCACGTGAATCAGTATTTCACGTGAAAATCACGTGAGTTTAACGTGAAATTCACGTGAAATATTTCACGTGAATTACGCGTATAAGCTCGATTAACGTGAAATTCACGTGAATTTTTTCACGTGAAATTCACGTTAATTTCACATTAAATTCACGTGAACAAAATTTGCCTGTGTATCGCCTCTCTTTTTTCTAATGTAACGTAAACACTAGGTACTTTCTGCTGTTATTTTGTACTGCACTGGCACAAATATTCTATAAATTCCATTTGGTTTGCAATAAATTTGGAGTATTGTGTGATTTTCAATTTATAGTAATATTCCTTCCTAAACTGTCCGACTTAAATTAGCAGCATTTTGGTTTTCGTAGTGATAACTTGTCCAAATTGTGTTTGTTTTAGTGAAGTTGGAAAAGAAATTAAATAATAATAAAGAGAAAAAGACAAATTGGTTGATAGTTGTTGAATTAAAGGCTATCTTGTTAATCTAGAAGCAAATACGTTACCCTTAGTTGTGTGTCCTTTTAGATCTAATTTCACAAAATAGACAAACATAGTGAAATATTTAAAGTATTATTTATTCTTTAGAATTTGCAGTGGGAATTTCATTTACACAATTTCATTTACACAGACTTAAAAATGATAATGATATAATGGAAACTTGAAATATTGACCTTCTTTTTATCATCTAGTACGGTGAAATATAGACCCCCTTTACGGACTGTAAATTATCTTTCTCGAGTAACTTAACGCAGCGTTTTGTATGAATACTATAGTGTAGATGTGAAGGTAACATTTAGCTCAGCAGAAAAGGTAAGAACTCTGTTTCATCCTCCTCGGCGATGAACGAAAGAAGTAATTTTTTCATAGAATGAAAAGCCAAAGAAGTTTATTACTTTCTAAAGGTTAGATAGCTGATAATATTTTATTAATTCCTGGTCGTACGACAGGAAGACTCAGTTTTTGGCTTTGGTTAACTTTTTATACAACACATTACCGTATATATGTAAGTTGTTTCAGCTTAAATGGAAGTCAAAGCATGGTAATAGTAGATATGTTTATCAAATTGTATGCAATCACATATTCCTGTTAAGTGTATAGAGAATAATAAAAATTAGTTTACGTTTTTAAAACCAGATATATATTAAAATAAGAAGATTTGGTATAATTGCCAATGAGACAACTCTCCACCGGAGACCAAATGACATAGAATTAACAACTATAGGTCACCGTATTAAATTATCAAGGTAGAGAGAAAAACACATATAAATCCAGTTATGCGTATAAGTACACTTTTCTCTTAAAGTCATTCATACAAATTAATATCATTATCAAATATACTATATAATATATAACCGTATAATTATTTTTTTTGCTGATACTATGTTTTCTTTAAAGAATAATTACGAAAAGTGTCCTCCGAGTGTTAGCATATGGTTAAATGTATGTTGCTTCCTATTACTACTAATGCATGTTGGAGGAAACGTGCCTTTAAATATGCAATATAGTTTATCCGGTCAATTTGGTAATAATCAGGGATTCAATGTCAGCTGGCAGAAACACATTAATTCAATATTCTTAATTAAGAAATAGTTTTCAGAAAACTGTTATTTTCCATGCATAATGTCTGCTTATAAATGGACCCATTAAGTGTCTGCTTTGCAATTATCACGACTTCAAAATGCTCTTTGTTAGTTGTGAACTGAATGACAGCGAGTAAAGTCATAATTAGGCAGATTCATTCCTGTGACTAAGCTGCATGAAGTTAAAATTGTTTCAGTGTATTAGTATCTATAGAAGACTATCTCTACAAGAGCGACATTCTGCATCGGGACTAACAATGTCTTTGCGATATAGTGATTTGTCATGTTGACAAAGAGTGTCCTAATGTCAGTGTATTGTTTCTTCTTGATGAATTACAAATTATAATTTTGTAAATTCCCTCGTCTTTCTGTCACAACCATTTTTTTGGCCACTGCAAGAAAATGCTCTCACATGAGGCCCTAACTTTTTTTCTCAAATAATACATTGATATGCCAATTGTTTTGCCTCGACCTTCCATCAGTTGACCAAAAGGAGCAAGGGTACATAAAGATCAAAATAGAATATTGAAGCACTTTAAGTTTTGATGATTAAGTAGCAAAAATGTTTCATTAGAATTCCATCATTTTGTTTGGCACTAAGACAACAATATTAATCTTACTTAAATGGATCAATTTTTTTTTGAATGGAAGGAATCAAAGAGTAGGTAGTTATAAATGGATAAAGTTCTGACTGGTTGCCTACTAATGCTTCGATATTAAGTTCTCTTCTGTTTTTGGTATTTATGAATGACATAATCACTGATATCAAAGCCCAAATCAAGCTTTTTGCTGACAAGACACGTCTATATTTAACTGTTGATAATCCAGTAGGAGCTGCTGAAATTCTCAATACCGGTTTGAACAAAATTCACGAATGGTCCAAGAAATAGGTTATCAAATTCAACCCAAAGAAAACTTAAATCATGATTATTTCACGTAAAAATGCAAAACCTTATCACCCACCTTTAAAAATGAATAACGAAGAATTACACGTAGTCGAAAAGCACACGCATTTAGGAGTAATTTTTCGAATAATGGTTCATGGAATGTTCTTGTTGATTATATTGTACAGAAATCTTACAAAAGACTCAATATTTTAAGGAAAATAAACATACTTTAGATAGAATGACTTTGGAAAAATATATATACCTTTTTATAAGACCTATCATTGAATATGCTGATGTTGTCTGGGATTCAGGAAAATTGAATAAACTCGAAAACATTCAGTTGGACGTTGCTCGTAGAGTTACAAAGGAGGTGGGGACTAAACTCACAAGTACTTCGATGTTATATAAAGAAACCCATGTAATGGGAGAGACTTTCAGATCGAAGTAGTAACCATAAACTAATACTGTTTCATAAAATTGTTAATATATCTGCAAGACTTATTGCCTGGTTATGTCAGTGGTCAACACGATCACAACACAAGACAAAGTAATAATCTATAAGAGGTGAAATCCCGTAAAAAACGTTACTCAAATTATTATCTTCCGTCATCCATCAAATTAAGGAATCATTTATTGTAAAAAAATTGTGAATCACTCTCTGTATTTAAGAAACATATTCGTATTCACAACGATCGACGCCCTTTATACTTTTATGCTGGATGTCGAAAAGGTCAAATTCTTCATGCGCAATTAAGGTTCATCATAACAAATGGACAAAAATGGCTGAATTTACACCTCAAAAACTACTCTGTGTACAGACTTACCTGTCAAGTTTGGAAAATTTTAAGGCCTGGCATCCACTAGATATATAAATGTTAAATGCATTTTTTGTTTCAGAAAGATAGAATCACTTTTGGATTTTGATGGGCATTTTTTTTTCCCTTTCTGCAGAAGGTGTAAAAATAAACAAACACCTGAATTGCTTTGATACTGTCCACTCAGTTAAACCCTTTAACTCACCTATAGTTGTGTAGATACCTATTGTCTGTCTATTGTCCGTGTCAATCAAGGACAATCAATACAATACAATACAGTTTTTACCTGAGAGGGAGCATCTCAAAGTTTTATCCCAACTTAGTTTACTTTTACACCTTCTGCAGAAAGGAAAAAAAATGGCCATCAAAATCCAAAAAAGATTTTCTCTTTCTGAAACACAAAATGCATTTAACTTTTATATATCTAGTGGATGCCAGGCATTAAAACTTTTCCAACTGGACAGGTAAGTCTGTACTCAGAGTAGTTTTTGAGGTGGAAATACAGCCATTTTTGTCCATTTGTTATGATGAACCTTAAGAATAGTAGTTCTGT